CCTCCCAAAGTGCTGGGATTACAGGCTTGAGCCACCGTGCCCGGCCAGCTTAGGTACTCTGAATACTTCATTTGACAGAAAAGTAACCCAGGGCCCAGAAAGGTTAGGCAACTTGGCTGAGGTTACATAGCACGTAAAAGGTCAATTGCATTCCAAACCTGGACTTTTACTGAACTACAGACTATGCTGTTAACCACTGACAAATGTATGTCCCCAAACATGATCCCCCTATACTCAAATCTTACCCTATTCTTTAACAGATGATATTTCATCCATTGCAATCACCTCCTGTCAGGATTCTGAGTTGACATAGAGTGTTTGAGAGTGATTGTTTAAGCCACTTACATCAAGAGCTTTAAGTGTAGACCTGGGAACTGATAGTTTAATCAAGCTCATTAGGTATTCCATAGCCTGTTAAAGACTGAGAGCCACTATCAATAGAATTCACCACTGTTTTCTAAATGTGGTAAGTATCCGCATATGGCAACAGGTGTATTATACATTATTTCTCTAGAATCTACACTCTACAAAATAAATAGCTGATGTTAGAGAAGGAAAAGACGTCCAGCTTCTGTGTGGAGCAGGATGCTGTCTGTAGGTTTACTGTGAAAGGTAAGTTATTTATTAGATGAATTGCTTGCATTATATGTACAAGAAGTGCATACTAAGTTAGGGTCCTTTTTGCAGAAGAAAGAGAAATTCAAAATATTTGTGTGAAAACCAAACGTGTTAATTTTTGTGAGCTATGCTTATTTCATTTTGTTTAAAATAATCTAATTTTTGTGTCCAAACATGTTTAGAATTGTACGGTTGAAACTCTTTAAAGTGTAATTAAACACTACTACTTAGCAAATATTAAAATGCACATACTATATGACCTACATTCCATTTGACCTGATCCCATTTCTAGGAATCTGCTTTATAGAAACACTGCCAAAAGCTAAGAATATGTAGACGTGAGGATATTCTTTGCAGTGTGGTTGGTAAAGAGCAAAGAAATGCAAACAGTCATCAGTAGGGGATTAATCAGTAGAGCATTAAGACATCCAGTGGCACATTCTGCAGTCAGTGAAAAAAAAAAGCACACATCTGTATCTGTGGAAACTGTCCATAATATATGTAAAAGGCATATCTATTTACATTCCGTATATGCATATGCATATATATGCTCTACATATGCTACAGAACTATCTGTAAAGGATAGTACTTTGTTTTTACTTTGAAAGCTATATACACATGTATTTACATTGGCAAATATTTGGAAAGATACACATCAAATAGCTAACTACTGTGGTTCCTTTGAGGAAATGAGGCTTTTTTTTTTTAAGGAATGAGGGTTTTTCCTTTTTATATTCTGCACTTTTAAAACTTTGAGTTATTTTCTGATTAGCTTGCCTAGCTTACCTCTCTGTCTCATCTGACCCTATTTTTGATGGGTGAGATTCCATCCATCACAACCACTTTCTGGTCGGGATTCTGAGTTGATGCAGAGAGGATAGAGCTCAGCCTGGCTTACAGCATTTTGATGCCATGACGGCTTTCATGTAACGAGGGTACAGCAACAAACACGTCCTTTTGACAAGGCTGTTTCTCTCTCCCTCTCTCTCTCTCTCTCACACACACACACACACACACGAGCAGCTTTTGTCCCCATAGATGCAGTGAAGGTGTCATCATTCCTTCTTTATGGGCTTTCAGGAGAATATAGGTGCGTACAACACTTGCCTGCACTGAATTGTTTCTCAAGGTCCAGAACCCCAAAGCTAAACAAAGTTTAACCATGCCCGACATTCCCTAAATACGAATGTTATGAACAAACAGAGTAAACCGAACAAAGATCCCTGTTAGGGAATGGGAGAATGGGAATTGCATTTTTAAGCAGTTCAGCCAGTCTGACAGTCCCTAGCTCTCCTCCCTGGGGGAATGCCCTCCATGGACAATCTGAGATGTGCAATGTGGAGGATTTGCTTTCTGGAGGTTGCTGACTTCCTATCTGTGTGAGTTAGCCTGAGGTTGCCTTCGGTATTGTGTAATCAAGGGCTGTTTGGAACCAGTCTCGTGGTTTCTTTGGCAATGTGACTCCATTCTAATGTCCGTAGGCTACTGTTTGCTTCTGATCAATTCCATGGGCCAGGTAGCCAGAAGAAGAGAAGTTGTCAGTTACATACTTCGCATTTGCATTTTAACAGGGGTTGGGAATGTGCACTTTCTTTTCTCTTTCTTTTTTTTTTTTTTTGAGATGGAGTCTCACACTGTCACCTGGGCTGGAGTGCAATGGTGTGATCTTGGCTGACTGCAACCTCAGCCTCCCAGGTTCAAGCAATTCTCCTGCCTCAGCATCCCAAGTAGCTGGGATTACAGGTGCCCGCCACCACACCTGGCTAATTTTTTTGGATTTTCAGTAGAGACGGGGTTTCACTGTGTTGGCCAGTCTGGTGTTGAGCTCCTGACCTCGCAATCCGCCTGCCTTGGCTTCCCAAAGTGCCGGGAATACAGGCGTGAGCCACTGCGCCCAGCCGGGGATGTGGACTTTCTAGTTCAGACCTCACTACCATTGTCACCCCGACCTCCCAGCCCCTAGCGAGACCTCTGCCTGCATCTTGGCCCATGTGGAGGTGATGAATATTTGACCCTTGGCTTCGTTAGGTCTCTCATCTTCCTGTCTCTGCTCATGTTAACTTTATCTTAGAGTAGAAAATTCCGCATTTACAGTCCTTCAAGTCTCCAGATGACTGGATTCTCAGTCAACAAGTTGGAAGGGCCTTTTTAAGCAAGTTAAATTTCTTCCTTTTTCAATTTTAGATGAGCCCATTTCAAAGTAGCCAAAACTCTTTCTTAAAGGACCTTACTGATGTAACACATAGCCACTAAATTCCAATATTCAGAATCTTTTGTTTTTCTTTTTCTTTTTTTCTTTCTTTTTTTTTTTTTTTTTTTTTTTTTTGAGACAAAGTCTTGCTCTGTCACCCAGGCTGGAGTGTAGTGGCACGACCTTGGCTCACTGAAAGCTCCGCCTCCCGGGTTCACGCCATTCTCCTTCCTTAACCTCCCAAGTAGCTGAGACTACAGGTGCCTGCCACCATGCCCGACTTTTTGTATTTTTAGTAGAGACGGGGTTTCACCGTGTTAGCCAGGCTGGTCTCGATCTCCCGATCTCGTGATCTGCCTGCCTTGGCCTCCCAAAGTGCTGGGATTACAGGCATGAGCCACCACACCTGGCCTATATTCAGAATCTCTTCTATCAAATTCCTTAATGCTGCAGCCTTGGTATTTGGCACAGGCTTTCAGCACCAAAATAAGACAGACCATAGTTCAACCAGCACGTGCAATACTTTGTAATGGGGATTGCAAAAGGTAGTGCCCAGACAGGACAGCATGGTGAATATCACCTGGGAACATGGTAGCAATGCACATTCTCAGCCCCACTTCCTTTCTTAATGGACCAGGGCCCAGCAACCTGTGTTTTAACAAGGCTGCAGGTAATTCTGATGCATGTAAGGTTTAAAACTCACTTTCATTTCACAAGGTCCTCACCAAGTCACCTCCTACTTTGTCGTTTCAGCCAGTTCCACACTTCAGTCAGGGCCTGTGACTTTTTAACAGACTCTGTGTCTCTGCACAGATACAGATCTCTGTATCTCTCAGGATGCTGGCAGTTTCCGGGCAGAAAGCAAACAAGCAAACTCAACTCTAAGAGGCTTTGAGTAAACGCACCTTGTGGCTCCAAGACTCCAGGGCATCGAGGTGGCCCTAGCTCCAGGCAAGGCTGGACGCAGCAGCCCTGTGGTATCTCATGAGTCCTCTTTGCTTCTCTTTCTGATCTCCCTTTCCCGTGAGCGGCCCTGGGTGGCTGCCAGTACCTGTCAGTGTTACGTGAATCCTTGTTCATTTTCTGCTGTGAAGAGTGAGTCTGTGTTCCCGTTGGAAAAAGCATCACTAGGCCCTTTCGGATTTGACTGACTTCGGAACCCAATTCCTAACCAATCGCTGTGGCTATGGGGATGGGTTTCATTGATTTGCTTAAGTTAATCAAGGCACATAACTTGAATCTTTGGGTTTAAAGAATTTTACATAAATTTAAAACCTGAGAATTGTGGGGAAGGGGGATTTCCCCTGAGGAAATGTGAGTTTCTGGCATCAGGAAACATGCAGAATAGATGCTGGGCAGGAAACACATGTTTTTACTATAATGTGTTTGTCTTTTTCCTGTTAGTTTTGTCTTGGTGATATAACAGGCACTAATACTTTATGTGTGATAAACATTTCTTCTCCTGTGCTGTCCAGGTTAAAAACTATTAGTCGTTCACTTTCCAGAATGACTTTATTCTTAACAAGATGTTGACTTGTGTACTTCCTGTTGCCCAATAAATCACTATTGCCCAAATCTAGGACAAAAGAGACATAAACTCTTCCTGATATCAAGGTAACCACTAGAAAATGGGGCTACATATCCACTCCAGAACATACTGAGAAAGATGGAACTGGCCCTGCCACAAGTACTACCCACCTTCTTTCATACAAGCCAAACATCGGGCACTGAGGATGCAGGTGGAGATGAGAGAATTCTTAGAACAATGAGTCCTCAGTAGAAATTGCCCATGTTAAGGAAGAGAAGGGAGTCTTTTCACAGGAGATAGACAAAGGGGTAGACAAGGAGACTGCAAGTGAAGGAGACACTTAATACTTGCAGTTTTTATTCCTCCTCTTTCCTGGGAACTGCACCCACAAAAATACATTATGTGGGATTGACCACATCCCAAATGCTAGGTGGGTCCTGATTAAAATAAGCTGATTTGCATCTTGAGTTTTTTAAACTTACCACAACATAAGCATTTCTCATGTCATTGCATTGTTTGTAAAGGCTGCCTAATAGCCAATCAAGGGAAGATCCCATAATTTCCTTAGCCATTTCCATATCATAGGCAATTTAAATTGGGTCCAATTTTAAGTTGTTATAAATATGCTGGGGACCAAATACACTTATGCATTGTTCTTTTTTCCCATATTTGAATTTATTTCTATAGAGAATAGATTCCTAGACATGGACCCTCTTGGCCAAAGGCTAAGAACACTTATTTCAAGGTTCCGTATGCATATTAGCATCCATATTAAACATATCTTTAGGTCCTTTGCTTAGTGCGTATCTCTCTTGAATGAACAGAGGTCTGGAAGCCTGGAATGAACAGAGATCTGAAAGCCTAGAATGAACAGAGGTCTGAAAGTCTGGAATGAACAGATGTTGGAAGCCTGGAATGAACAGATGTCTGAAAGCCTGGCTATACTCTCATTGCTCAGTAGCTCAGGCTTCGCTAACACAGCTCTGTCCATCTGCGTGTGGTTTAAGTTGGGCTCTGCTGCTCAGGACTCCTGGCATCACTGCATAAGTCAAGTCTGCACCGTTAGAACAGTTGTGGAATAACATAGAAGTTTCTGCTCTGCCAGGGGAAACTATGACTACAGAGCTTTAGTGAGGAGGAACTAGCTAAGTGGTCCTGGGTGACACCAATATCTCACCTCCTCTCGCTGTGGAAACCACTTCCCCATCAACAGCCCCAAGACAACTGAGCACTTGAACTATTCTCGCAAATACCCTGAGCCCTGTGGCTACCAAGAACCCCTCGCATGTGCGAGTCAACAAGACACCACGGTGCTTAAAAACATCCTCTCTCATCAGCCCCGGTTTCCATCTTCCCATGACTCAGGGCTCACCTCTTAAGAGGAGGGGACACAGCTCGGACCTCACAGCTGGCAACTGAGCGCCCAAGTCCTGTCGTCCTCTGCTCACACTCTTGGGCCCCCGCGTCCTCCTCATTCACAGTGACCCCCTGTTCCTGGGTCTCCTCTCATGAGTCTGTCTTTTCCTGCCTTTTGCTGTTGTTGACCTCTGGCTGGGGTCAAACCACATCACCAAAGTCCAAGGACAGAGGTACCCAAGTGAAACAGGAAACTTCCTAAGGGATTTTCAAAATGCCCTGGGCTATCTGTTCAGGAAGATTTTCTTCCCCCAAAAATTTTCACTTTCTATTCTGTAAACCTTAAAGGCAGGGTACAGTCTTGTCCTACTTAGGGAAGGAGAACATTGAGTAGGTTTCAATAAGGGGCAGAACCCGGCTACAATCACTTCCCGGTGGCCAGCTGAGTCACGAAATCGCCACAGGTCTGCCTCACAGGTGATCCGCAGAGATGGCCTCTTGCTGGAAAAAATCTCTCTTAGACCGTATTATGTTCCCCCAATAGAGCTGGAATAAGAGGCAGACTATTTAATTAGTTGCAATTCCTACAGAGGGAGATGGAGGCCAAACCTAAGGCTCAAACAGAAATGGAAGGGAAAAATGGGGAAGCAAGAACTCCCCAACTTCCTGCTGGTTCTTCTCATCCCCAAATCCCCAACTTCCTGCTGGTTCTTCTCATCCCCAAGTCCCCAACTTCCTGCTGGTTCTTCTCACCCCCAAGTCCCCAACTTCCTGCTAGTTCTTCTCAACCCCAAATCTCCAACTTCCTGCTGGTGCTTCTCATCCCCAAATCATCCCCTGAACAGTACTGTCTCCATCTACTTCTGATTTTATCACTGGGTAGAAGGAGATGGCTCGGCCGGGCGCGGTGGCTCATGCCTGTAATCCCAGCACTTTGGGAGGCCGAGACGGGCGGATCTCGAGGTCAGGAGATCGAGACCATCCTGGCTAACACGGTGAAACCCCGTCTCTACTAAAAATGCAAAAAAAAAATTAGCTGGGCGCCGTGGCGGGTGCCTGTAGTCCCAGCTACTCGGGAGGCTGAGGCAGGAGAATGGCGTGAACCCGGG